GAACGTCTAACGTGCGCTTCCCTCGCTTTGAATCATTAAGTGACCGAGTTCCTGCTGTGACCGGTGGCTGGCAGAGAAGCTAAATGCTAGCTCTGTCTCTTTGTGATCCTTTGGGACGTGTCGGCATTGCTCAGAACTCAAAAGCTGCCACGATAAAAGCGTGGAGAGTCTCGCTGACTTACTCGCCGTGCTGGAGAGCACTGAAAAGCTGGCAGGGATCAGAGGCGACGGCTTTTATTGGAGTCTGAACAGCTCGGAAGCTGTGAAATAAAGAGAACGGAGTCTGGCTGCCCGACTTGGCTACCGCTCCTCTCTGTGCCCACCCCTCCTGGTGTGAAAGAGAACCTGAAATGTTTGCAATCGCTCTCTGCCTCCTGCAGTATCTCGGCCTCCCTCTGAGCTCTGCAGCGGGTTCAGGGCTGGTCAGTGAGACCTGTAGGGGGAACACTGGGGGCAGCTGCAGGAGGTGCCAGTCAACAGGCCGCAGCATTCCCTCTGGGCTGGTACTGGACGTATTCCTGCAGTGTGGCAGTAGGGGGCGCCGTCTTTCAGGTGAGAGTTAACCCCCAGCCCTCCTATCACAGGATTGTCTTCCATGTGGGGCTCACAGCTGCCACGTCCCCTGCTCCCGATTTAGCTAGCTAGAAGCTTAAAGCTGGAGCAAACGGCCGGCCCTGCCAAGTCTCTCCTCCCTCCTGCGTGTCTAAGTGGCTTTGCTCTCCCTTGGGACGGCTGGATAAGTTTCTGGATGATAAGGAAACCGCAGTGCTATATCCTTCCTTTCACGCGGCTGGAGCAATGTGACTATTCAAGCCGGAGGCATTGGGCAGAGCTGACTCTCTTTGGTGTCACTAGCTGTCTGCTGGTCCTTGCTCCCCACATGCTTTCAGCCTGGGCAGGTGCACCGGAGGGCCCTGTTTCTTGCCACAATATTCTGAACTGGAAGAAGACCAGCTGCAGCAAAACTCCAAGGGATCAGGAAGCCGGCGCGCCATGCACGCCCTCTGCTTTGGTGTTAGCAGGAATTCACACCTTTCCCTAGACTTGCTAGGAAACGACACGGCACTTGGGGAGGGCGGGTAGATTTTTGCTGATGGTTTCCACCTCTGGCTTACGGTTTAGCAAGTTGCTGCAACTGGTTTGGCTTAACGAATGCAGCGTGTTCCGTTAACGACGGCTGCTGTCTGGAAACGGCGTCACATGTCATGAATCAGAGGCATTGCACCTTCAACTCCATGGTGTGGCTGTGATCACAACTTGCTGTCTTGGAAATGAGCTACAATTGTCAAAGGGGTTTTGCTCTGGTAACCTTGCCTCACCTTGCACAGACGCAGTTGAGGGCTTGTGCAGGAGCCTGGGACCACCTGGGTTCTCTTCCAACGACCTCCCCAGAACCTTAGGCAAGTAACTCTGCCTCTAATGAGATCTATACTGTAGATAGATAATAAGACAGAACATATCATATTGTCTCCATAAAAATCCATGGTATGCCCAGATCTTGGGTACTGCCTGCAGATCTGGTCGCCCCATCTCAAAAAGGATATATTGGAATTGGAAAAGTTACAGAGAAAGGCAACACATATGATTAGGGGAATGTGTGAGGGGAGATTAAAAAGACTGGGACTGTTCAGATTGGAAAAGAGACAATTCAGGGGGCTAGGATAGAGGTCTATAAAATTATGACTGGTGTGGAGAAAGTGAATAAGGAAGTGTTATTAACTCCGTCACATAACACACAAACCAGGCTCGCCCAAACAAACTAATAGGCAGTGGGTTTAAAACAAATAAAAGGAAGTATTTCTTCACACAAGGCACAGTCAACCTGTGGAACTCTTTGCCAGAGGATGTTGTGAAGGCCAAAAATATAACAGGGTTAAAAAAAAAAAAATAAGTTCCTGGAGGGTAACTCCATCAATGGCTATTAGCCAGGATGGGCAGGGATGGTGTCCCTAGCCTCTGTTTGCCAGAAGCCGGGAATGGGCGACAGGGGATGGATCACTTGAAATTGCCCTGTTCTGTTCATTCCCTCTGGGGCACCTGGCATTGGCCACTGTCGGAGGACAGGACACTGGGCTAGATGGACCTTTCGTCTGACCCAGTCTGGCCGTTGTTATGGTCTTATGTAATTCTCTTTTGCCCCCGTTTGAAATCGGTTATCCGCTACCCATCTCCATAGTGTCTGTGTGCCTCCCGAGCAGTTAAAAATAGACCTCACCCTAACTCTGTCTCTTCCTTCCCTGCCTGTAGAAGCAGTTTGGTTGGTTCCCAGGGTCTCCTGTCTGGGGTGAGCGGGTGGGTGGCGTATGGAAAACACTTGCAGGGACAGTTAACTGTAAGAAGCGGGTGAGGTTTTTAGTCAGGGAGGTCTCTTGCAAGAGCGAATGAAAGCACTGAAATTCTGAAATTGTCCAGTCCCTGGGTCGATTCTGTCTGCTGCCTTTCTCCCCGCCCCCCGCTGGCGTTGTCATTGTTCCTGTAGTTCAGAGCTGTCCTAGGAGATTGTAGTGGTAGAGGGTGTGCCGATCTCTCTGGGAACCGGCCCAAATGCATGGAGGGATAGCGAGACCTTGAACTGGAATCTATAGTGGGTGAACCTGGCAAATCAGTAAATGCAGTTCACTGGAGGAGTGACTCCCCCTAGTTTGCTGTCTGAAGCATGAAAGCTCAAATGCTCCTCAGCTTAGATAGGTCCAAAGGTTACTAATAAATGCATTGCATCTTCTAAAAACGCAGACCCTGGATCAGGCTTCATGACATCATGCAGCAGGGAGTTCCGCAGGCTGCCCACTCCCTCAAGTGTTTCCTCTTGGATTTTTTTGGCTTTAATTTGGTCCTAGATTAGCTTGTTCTTTCAGGTGGGGCAGATTAGTACAGTAGGAAAACAAGAACTAGCCGAAACGAGACTGAAATATTGGCCCTAAATGTCCAATGCATTCCATAGGACTCTGTGCTGGATGCAGAATGCAAATAGAGACTCTGGTACCACAAGGACGGCTGGAAGTCCCACTTCTTCTTTTTAATTACGTTTATTACCTCGGTTATCTAAACAGAAATGCTCGGATTGCAAGGTGTAATAAAACACAAAGGATCCCCTCATTCTAGATTTCATTGCATTGTTAAACGTGAAGTGTTTGTTCATCTTGCATAGAAAAAACTGGGGGAGCAGGGATACATCAGTTTATTCCCATGCCGCCTCTTCCGGAAATGGCTGCACCCGAGCCTTTCAGACACTGTATTTATGATGCAGATAGAATGAGTAACTGAGCTGTTACCCAGGTGAACGGCATCTTCCGTGGGCCACCGTTTGCCTATGGGAGAATGTAGCGATGTAGATCTTTGTGCGTTTGGATTTAATGAGGATAGCAGGCTTCTGGGGTTTGGTAAGGTGTGATTTCTATTGGAATGTTTTTCCCATAGGCTGTGCATGTTTATTAAATTTAGCAGATTAATACCGTTGAAAGAGGAGAACCTATCAGAACAGAATCCCTAGCCAGAGGGAGTGATATGTAATGGCTAGTGCAGGGGACGCTCAGAGCTATACTTACTTCTATACTTACCCCTGCCACTGACTCATTCTGTGTCTTGGAGTAAATTGTGTCCCCTCTCTTTGCCTCAGTTTCCTCATCTATCAGTAGGGGATAATACTTCTCAGAAACAAACTAGGGAAATGCAACCTAGATGGAGCTACTATAAGGTGGGTGCAGAATTGGTTGGAAAACCATTCCCAGAGAGTAGTTATCAGTGGTTCACAATCATGCTGGAAGGGCATAACAAGTGGGGTCCCGCAGGGATCGGTTCTGGGTCTGGTTCTGTTAAATATTTTTATCAATGATTTAGATAATGGCATAGAGAGTACACTTATAACGTTTGCCACCGATACCAAGCTGGGGAGGGCTTGCAAGCGCTTCGGAGGATAGGAATGAAATTCAAAATGATCTGGAGAAATGATCTGAAGTAAATAGGATGAAATTCAATCAGGACAAATGCAAAGTACTCCACTTAGGAAGGAACAATCCGTTGTACACATACAAAATGAGCAATGACTGCCTAGGAGGGAGTACTGCGGAAAGGGATCTGGGGGTCAGAGTGGATCACAAGCTAAATATGAGTCAACAGTGTAATGCTGTTGCAAAAAAAGTGAACATCATTCTGGGCTGTATTAGCAGGAGTGTTGTAAGCAAGACACGAGAAGTAATTCTTCCGCTCTACCCCGCGCTGATTAGGCCTCAACTGGAGTGTTGTGTCCAGTTCTGGGCGCCGCATTTCAGGAAAGATGTGGGCAAATTGGAGAAAGCCCAGAGAAGAGAAACACAAATGATGAAAGCAGCAAACAGTCCTGTGGCACCTTATAGACTAACAGACGTATTGGAGACTCCTATATGTCTGTTAGTCTCTAAGGTGCCACAGGACTCTCTGCTACTTTTACAGATCCAGACTAACACGGCTTCCCCTCTGATACAAATGATGAAAGGTCTAGAAAATATGACCTATGAGGGAAGATTGAAAAAATTGGGTTTGTTTAGTCTGGAGAAGAGAAGACTGAGAGGGGACATGAGAACTGTTTTCGGGTACATAAAAGGTTGTTACAAGGAGGCGGGAGAAAAATTGTTCTTAACCTCTTAGGACAGGACAAGAAGTAATGGGCTTAAATTGCATCAAGGGCGGTTTAGGTTGGACATTAGGAAAAGCTTCCTAACTGTCAGGGTGGTTAAGCACTGGAATAAATTGCCTAGGGAGGTTGTGGAATCTCCATCATTAGAGATTTTTAAGAGCAGGTTGGACAAACACCTGTCAGGGATGGTCTCTAGATAATACTTAGTCCTGCCATGAGGGCAGGGGACTGGACTAGATGACCTCTCGAGGTCCCTTCCAGTCCTGTGATTCTATGAGTCCCTGTCTCACGGGGCTGTTGTGAAGCTTAATGTTTGGGGAAGTGCTTTGAGATCCTCAGATGAAAGGATCGGCATGTTCCGCTCCTCAGCTTCCACTCTGTATTTCAGGAGCACGATCGTGGTTTGCCGTGAGACACGCAGGAGCTGGTGGGGCGATCTCCAGTGAGCTTGGCTCCCGTCCACTGGTAAAGAGTTTGTCGGCAGACCAACGACCTTGGTCACCCGGGAAGATGAGAAGACGTATGGCCTGGTACCTGTTGGTCCTGTTGGCGGCCGCGACAACGGGCTACCCCTCTCGACGATCCGCCGTGGACTTGGACGCGACCCCAAGGACGACGATCGCCTATAAGGGTAAGGAAGCTTGGTTTTACCCCTGCCCCTGAGAGAGCAGCCGGACACCGTGCGTCATTGGTGCATGTTGCCTGCATGGCCGGGCGGATGTGAAGGCCGCCTGGCTACGGGGAGTGGAAGGTCCTGGGCAGAGGTCCTTAGATCTGTGCTTAGCTCCTGCAGTGAGCACTATGCAAAGCCCAGGATGCACAAGAAATGGGGTCTGGTGTGTAACAGCCAGTGCTCTGAGCTCGCGGTGTGCCCCCTCCTCCTCTCTCCGATGGCTCCCTGGGGATGAGGCCGATGATTTCCCCCTCGCCTCTGGTCCCCTTGTGTTTTGGCTGTGAGAGAGGGATGGGGCGTAGGGGGAAGCGGGGAACCTGCTCGGAGAGCCATCAGCCTGCCCTGCGTGCTGTCTGGGAGCTGCTGCCGATTGCTACGTGCCAGATTGGAGCTGTTGGCACGACAGCATCTGCATGTCCGATGACATCAGCGTCTCCGCTTTCCCAGGCTCCTGCGGCACAAGGACATATGGCCGCAGCTCCTCGAGCACAGAGGCTCTTTGGCGAGGCCGCCTGTTCCTGGCCGCCTGTGCTCAGCCCCCGAATGCTAGAGCTTCCCAGAGCAATTGCATTAGACTGACCTTCCCTGTGACATCCCTACCTGCTTCCTTCCCGGGGGCTTGAAGGGAGGATTTTGTCCCCTCTGCAGAGGGGGGCCAGCCTGGGGGCCACAACCCACCCCACATAAACCCCAATTCAGCTCATAAGGTGGTGCGTAAGCCTTGTCCTGGCCCCTCTGCCTAGGGGTGAATTCCGCCTGTGGTGGGCTGGAGGGTGGTCAGATAGGTAGTTCCAGGCCTGCCATGCCATGGCTTTCTTGGCGGGACTGGTTCATCCAGCCTCCTGTGTCATCTTCCCCGGCCCATGGACTGACTCCTGGTTGCACTGTCGGAAAGGAGTGGGAGTCTTGCAGTTGTCTTTGATGGACAGAAGGGAGCTTGGCCTTTGCCCTGCGGGCTGGCTTGGTGACATCTCACCTGAGATGCCGCTAAATACTTCAAGACAGTTTGGAAGTGAAGCCAAGGCCAGAGCCTCTACCGGACAGGGATGATGAGAGGGCCGATTAATTAACTAACGGCTGCACAGTGTTCGCTTAAAGGCTGATGGAGCAAGGAGAATTCAGTTCTCGTGGAAAAATGAAACCTTCATGTAACTGCAGCAATTTCTTTGCAACGGCAAAAGTGTTGGCTGAAATATCGCTGCCGAATGCTCAGGAGAAGCCGAGAACTTGGTTAAAAGTTCACATTTGAGATGAGTAGATGTCCCATGAGCGCCGTGAGGGCTAGCGGGTTTAGCTCAGGGCTCGGAGCCAGGAGGTTGGTCCCAGCTTCTTCACACATCCACCGCTGAGGGCATGACTGCTTTGAAAACCAGAGAGCTCTTTGTAAACCCTTAGCCATGAAGCAGTTCGGTGTCATGGTTCCATTTTACATAAGAACAGCCATACTGGGTCAGACCAAAGGTCCATCTAGCCCAGTCTCCTGTCTACCGACAGTGGCCAATGCCAGGTGCCCCAGAGGGAATGAACAGAACAGGGAATCATCCAGTGATCCATCCCTGGATGGCTAATAGCCATTGATGGACCCATCCTCCATGAACTTAGCTCGTTCTTTTTTTAACCCAGTTATAGTTTTGGCCTCACAACATCCCTTGGCAAGGAGTTCCACAGGTTGACTGGACATTGTGTGAAGAAATACTTTCTTTCTTTGTTTTAAACTTGTTGCCTGTTAGTTTTATTGGGCGATACCTCGTTTGTGTGTGTTATGTGAAGGGGTAAATAACACTTCCTTATTTACTTTCTCCACACCAGTCATGATTTTATAGACCTCTGTCATATCCTCCCTTGGTCGTTTCTTTTCCAAGCTGAACAGTCAATCTTTTTAATCTCTCCTAATATAGAAGCTGTTCCATCCCCCAGTGGTTTCTGTTGCCATTCTCTGTACCTTTTCCAATTCTCTCATACCTTTTTTGAGACGGGGCGACCATATCTGCACGCAGTATTCAAGATGTGGGCGTACCAGAGGCAATATGATATTTTCTGTCTTATTATCTATCCCTTTCTTAATGATTCCCAACATTCAGTTTGCTTTTTTGACTGCTGCTGCACGTTGAGTGGATGATTTCAGAGAACTACCCCTCCAAGATCTCTCTCTTGAGTGGTAACAGCTAATTTAGACCCCATCATTTTATATGTATAGTTGGGATTATGTTTTCCAATGTGCATTACTTTGCATTTATCAACATTGAATTTCATCTGCCATTTTGTTACCCTGTTTTGTGAGGTCCCTTTGTAACTCTTCCCAGTCAACTTTGGACTTAACTATTTTGAGTAATTTTGTATCGTCTGCAAACTTTGCCACTTCACGGTTTACCGCTTTTTCCAGATCGTTTATGAACATGTTGAACAGCATTGGTCCCAGTACAGATCCCTGGGGGACCCCGCTATTTACCTCTCTCCATTCTGAAAAGTGACCATTTATTCTTACCTTTGTCTCCTGTCTTTTAACTAGTTATCGATCCATGAGAGGACCTTCCCTCTTATCCCATGACAGCTTACTTTACTTAAGAAGCTTTGGTGAGGGACCTTGCCAAAGGCTTTCTGAAAATCTAAGTCCACTATATCCACTGGATCCCCCTTGTCCACATGCTTGTCGACCCCCCTCAAAGAATTCCAATAGATTGGTGAGGCGTGAGTTCCCTTTACAAAAGCTGTGTAGGCTCTTCCCCAGCATATTGTGTTCATCTCTGCGTGTGAGAATTCTGTTCTTTATTATAGTTTCAACCAGTTTGCCTGGTACTGAAGTTAGGCTCGCTGGCCTGTAATTGCCAGGATCGCCTCTGGAGCCTTTTTTAAAAATCGGTGTTACATTAGCTACCCTCCAGTTATCTGATACAGAGGCTGATTTAAGGGATAGGTTGCAGACCCCTGTCAGTAGTTCTGCAAGTTCATATTCGAGTTCCTTCAGACCTCGGGGGTGAATCCCATCTGGCCCTGGTGATGTAAATTACACAGTAATACTAGTTTGTTCCAAAATCTCCTTTGTTGACACCTCAATCTGGGACAGGCGTTCAGATTTGTCACCAAAAAAGAAGGGCTCAGATAGGGGAATCTCGCTCCTATCCTCAGCCGTCAAGACTGATGCAGAGAATTCATTTAGCTTCTCTGCAACGGCCTTGTCTTCCCTGAGTGCTTCTTGGGCAGCCCGATTATGCAGTGGGCCTAATGATTGTTTGGCAGGCTTCTTGCTTCAGATGTACTTTAAAAAATGTCAAGTATCAGAGGAATAGCCGTGTTAGTTTGGATCTGTAAAAAGCAACAGAGGGTCCTGTGGCACCTTTAAAACTAACAGATCTGTTAGTCTTAAAGGTGCCACAGGACTCCCTGTTGCTTTTTTAAAAATGTGCTGTTAGTTGTGCTAGTTGCTCTTCTGTTCTTTTTGGGCCTGCCTAATTATGCTTTTACACTTGACTTGCCAGAGTTTAGGGTCCTTTCTATTCTCCTCAGTAGGATTTGGCTTCCCGTTTTGATTGGGCTTCTCGTCTTTTTGCTTCTTACCGCCTCTTTTACCCTCTTTAGCTGTGGGGGCGGGTTTTTGGCCCTCTCACCGTTTTTTGGTTTTCTTCGGCGAAGCCTCTGTTATGGCGGTGTTTTAAACGTTGCCAAAAGTTTATTGATGAGGAAATTGAGGCACAGAGAGGGGAAGGGAATAGCCCAAGATACACCCTAAAATCCTTCGCCTCTTCCTGCAGGAGGGGAAGGTGCGGGTGGGGGAGGGCTCCCTTCTGGAGCTGCTGTTAAGAAAAGAAAATCGGAATGCATTATCTCTTACCAAGGCTTCAGCCCAAGTGGGCTGGGCTGCGCCATGCAGGAGCACGTTGTTCGCTAGATGATGGCGGGGCGCGAGAACGTGCCGGGGTGAAGAATAAGTTCTGTGCCTGCTCAGTGGGTATCGGTGGAGCTTCCGAGCAGAGCCTGAACGAGCTCCCTCCCCCTTAGGACATCTGTGCGCTTTGCCTGCCTGACAGCTGGCGCGACTCGGGGGGAGATAACACTTCACTGCTGCACGCAGAAGAGTCCTTCCTGGCCAAAGCCCAGGACACCCAGGAGAGCTGGTGAAAAGCCCACGCACCCCAAAGAGTGAGAAACCTGGGGGCTACCTCCACTCCTACCTTTGAAAAGAAATCCTAGGAAATGCAATGCCAAAAACTTTGCTAAGATGGCCCAGGTCGGGTTGCCGGGTGACCGGTTTTCGACTGGAAAGTCCGGTCGAAATGGGGACCTGACAATGTCCAGTCAGATCTACTGACCGGGCACCCAAAGTCTGGTTACTATGGGCAGGGGAGGCACCCAGTTGTCACCTGTGCCATCCCCTACTCAGCTGGGGCTGCCTCCACCTGCATTAGTTACCTGCAGCTCCCAGCCCCGGCTCTGTGGGCGAGTCTCCCCCAACCTGGGGTGGGGGTGACGGTGGAGGGAAAGCAGCAAGCAATGGGGGGAGGGGAAAGAGGAGCGAATGAGGGGTGGGACCTTGGGGAAAGAGGCGGGGCAGGGATGGGGCCTCAGGAAAGCAGGGCCTCGGGGAAGAGGCGGGGGAAGGGAGGGGCCTATTGGGAAGGGGCGGGGCAGGCAGGTTCCATAGGCGCTGACTTCCCCTCTGCCTGATGGGTGCTCAGCCCCGCCCCTGCACCGCCCTTGCCCCGCCCTCATTCCACCCCTTCCCCAAAGTCCCTGCCTTTTCCCACCCCAGCCCTGCCCCCTTTCTGCCCCCATTCCACCCCTTCCCCCAAGTCCCTGCCCCTGCCCCTTCTCCGCCTCCTCCCCTGAGTGTGCCGCATCCCCGCTCCTCCCCCCACATCCCGGAAAGTCGTAAGCGCCGCCAAACAGCTGTTAGGCGGCGGGACACGCTGGGAAGGAGGGGGAGGAGCGGGGATGCGGCACGCTGGGGGAGCTTGGCTGCC